GATCTCTGCCCCACGGATCTCCACAGGGACCCCCCCTGCCCCATGGCGGCACCAGGAAGGCCCCGGGGGAGGTGGGGGAGGGGAGTTTTATCCCCCTCCCCCCCCCGAGCCACTCATTAACCGGGTTAATTAGTGAGGGATTAATGAGGGGCCCGGCCGCCCCTCCCCCCGCCTGGTCACTCATTAACGAGGGGTTTTAATGAGTAATTAACGGCTGAAGGGTTTGTGGGGAATCGTTGTGGGGCAGGGGGCAGCCCCTCGTTGCTCATTAACCGGGGCTGATTGATTCATTAATTAATAATTTAAAATAATTAACTCATGTTTTCATCTTTCCATTAATTCATTTTATCGAAACGGGGAATTTGGGGGAGGTTATGGGGCAATTATTCTCCCTTGTTGCTCATTAATCCATCAAAAATTAATAAGTAATCACGTAATTAATTCACAATTGTATCAATCAGTGAATTAATTTCATTAAAATGGGGAGTTTGGGGGAGGTTTTGGGGCAGGTTATTGCTGCTCATTAATNAGTGAATTAATTTCATTAAAATGGGGAGTTTGGGGGAGGTTTTGGGGCAGGTTATTGCTGCTCATTAATAAATCGCAAATTACTAAGTAATCATTTAATTAATAATTGTATCAATCCATTAATTAGTTTTATTAAAATAGGCCAGAACAATGGGGCAGTCACATGGCAAGGGACACCATTAATTAATGAGGGATAATTAATTAAGGGGTTTAAGCCATTATTTTATTAAAATTGTGAGGGGAGGAAATGGAGGGAAACTGAGGGAGAAAAAAAGGCGGGAAAACGTGAGGGGGGGAAAAGGCGGGAAAACGTGAGGGGAAAAAAGGCGGGAAAACGTGAGGGGGGAAAAAAGGCGGGAAAATGTGAGAGGAAAAAGGCGGGAAAACATGAGGGGAAAAAAGGCGGGAAAACGTGAGGGGGGAAAAGGCGGGAAAATGTGAGAGGAAAAGGGCGGGAAAACGTGAGGGGGGAAAAAAGGTGGGAAAACGTGAGGGGAGGAAAAAAAGGCGGGAAAATGTGAGGGGTAAAAAGGCGGGAAAATGTGAGAGGAAAAGGGCGGGAAAACGTGAGGGTAGAAAAAGGCGGGAAAACGTGAGGGGGGAAAAAGGCGGGAAAAAGTGAGAGGAAAAGGGCAGGAAAACGTGAGGGGGGAAAAAGGCGGGAAAACGTGAGGGGAAAAAAAGGCGGGAAAACGTGAGGGGAGGGGAAAAAGGCGAGAAAATGTGAGGGGAAAGAAGGCGGGAAAACATGAGGGGACAAAAGGCGGGAAAACGTGAGGGGAAAAAAGGTGGGAAAATGTGAGAGGAAAATGGCGGGAAAACATGAGGGGAAAAAAGGCGGGAAAACGTGAGAGGAAAAAGGCGGGAAAACGTGAGAGGAAAAAGGCGGGAAAACATGAGGGGAAAAAAGGCGGGAAAATGTGAGAGGAAAATGGCGGGAAAATGTGAGAGGAAAAAGGCGGGAAAACATGAGGGGGGAAAAAGGCGGGAAAATGTAAGAGGAAAAAGGCGGGAAAATGTGAGGGGAAAAAAGGCGGGAAAATGTGAGGGGGAAAAGGCGGGAAAATGTGAGGGGGAAAAAAGGCGGGAAAATGTGAGAGGAAAAAGGCGGGAAAACGTGAGGGGGAAAAGGCGGGAAAACGTGAGGGGGGAAAAAAGGCGGGAAAACATGAGGGGAAAAAAGGCGGGAAAACGTGAGGGGAAAAAAGGCGGGAAAACGTGAGGGGAGGAAAAAGGTGGGAAAACATGAGGGGAGGGGAAAAAGGCAGGAAAATGTGAGGGGAAAAAGGCGGGAAATGGGAGTTAAAAAGGCGGGAAAACGTGAGGGGAGGAAAAAAGGTGGGAAAACTTGAGGGGGGAAAAAAGGTGGGAAAATGTGAGGGGAAAAAGGCGGGAAAACATGAGGGGCAAAAAAGGCGGGAAATGGGAGTTAAAAAAGCGGGAAAACGTGAGGGGAGAAACTTCGGGGTCACTTATGGGGCAACCCCTTCCCCTCATTAACGCATTAACAAACTCCTCATTAACACGCTCTTTAATAATTAATTTATTCATTTCCAGCTGCGGGACCCTCGATGGAACAGGGGAGGGATCCATGGGGCAGGTGAGGGACTCATGGGGCAGATTTGGGATCCGTGGGGCAGATTTGGGATTCGTGGGGCAGATTTGGGATCCATGGGGCAGATTTGGGATCCATGGGGCAGGTGAGGCTCAGGTGAGGCTCAGGTGAGGGCCAGGTGTGGGTCAGTAGTTGCCGCGCTCCTGCCGGAAGCCGCCCCGCCGCAGGTACCCGTCGCCCTTGCGGTATCCGCCATCTTTCTGGTCTGCAGGGACACACGGGGCAGGTGAGAGCGGGGCGGGGCTCAGGTGTGCCCAGGAGCCCCTCAGGTATCCCTCAGGTGTGCCCAGGTATCCCTCAGGTGTGCCCAGGTATTCCTCAGGTGTGCCCAGGTACGCCCATGCACCCCCAGGTGTGCCCAGGTGTCCCTCAGGTGTGCCCAGGTA